AGATCTTGAAAGGCCGGTTGTTCAAAACTTGAAAATAGCATTGATAACTGGACCAATTGTTGGTTGAGATGTTGCAAAGGAAATATCTGCTGAAGCTATCTTCAGGTCACAAGTTAAAATTTTGGCAGTGTAGGAGGCATCTGCAATTTAGACAGTATTACTTTTCAAACAGGGTGGTTGACTTTAGGAAAGAACTCCCTTCAAGGGTGGTGGAGGCAGAAAATTTAACTGAGTTCAAGAAAAGATTGGATGGATACAAGAGTTGTAAGAGGTGGTTATAGTTGGGAGATGGAAGGGACATCCTTGATGGGCTAATAAGCTCCTTTTTGTCCCTTTAACATTTTATGAAATGTTATGAAATTATTTATCATTATTATTTATGAATATGTTATATTGTAAATTTCAGAACTGACCATGTTTATGAGTAAAATGACAACTTCTTATGAGTTCCCCCAATTTCACCCCTTTGGACTTTTATCTTTGGGCTTTTTGAAAACAAAAATCAACCATAACAAACCAAGGGATCTTGAGGAACTGAAACTTTATATCTGTGATGCTTTCTTATCCATCCCTACAAATGTATTGAAACACATGTTCTCAGAACTTGAACACAGAATTAGACTGATTGTCTAATTATGGAAGACATGTAGATGTTCGTTAATTAAATTAAACTTACAAGCCTTCAAAAGATACAAATGTTATGAACTATGTTTTTGATATATGCATTTTGGGACACCCTGTATATAAAAGCAGGCAATGCTTATTTTTAACTCGTAATAATGTATGCGATGTACAAACTTGTGCCACAACCTACATTTTCTCCAGTGATTATGGTTCGTAGACAAGAACTGCTATTGTGCATACAACGATTCTCATGTAGACACCAATTGCAAGCCCAAGAACTTGTCACACAAGTTGAACAGCTAATATAGAAAACAGACATAATGTTATAAACTATCTATTGAACATCATTTTAGTTATAAAGCTGGGTGACTTAAAATAATATTAACATAACAAATAAAAACAGAACTAGCCTTTAGGATTTAATAAAACAACATTTCCAAGACCTTTGCAATTCTCGATTCCATATTACACTTAAACACTTTGAAGAGGAAAAACAAAACAAAATTTTAGGGGTGTTGTGTAACATAACAAGCACAGTTCCAGTTGATATAGGACTTTTCAAATCTGATTTATATTACATCAGTTCATTCAATGGTTTTCTTTTCCCCTTCACCATTAAATCTGGCCACAAGACCACACACACAATGAGTATTTGTTATATAATTTATCTACAAAAGATAAGTAACAGCTGTCTATAAATATCATACATAGAGTAGTGATATAATCTAAGAGGCAGCTACCTAACACTGACACACATACAAAGAAGTACATACATAAGTTCAATATTATGAAGTACAACCTTAAAAAATTTCAATATTTTTGACCTACAAATAAAATTTCTAAAAGGAAGCATTTGTCAGTCATAATATTATGAAAAGGAAGTGAAACAAACTATTAAAACTTTAAAAATCTAATGATTGTTTTATTTTGGTGTATTTCAAGTATTGAATTTGCACTTACGTTTCATGTACAGAACAATCATAAAATGCAAAAGGTTTATGAAGAAAATCTGTATTTGTTTCACTGGAGCGAACAGCTAGGTCCACCACAATGTGATCTGTTAAATATTAAAGAACCTATCACTTTAGAAAGAACCCTAGTCATTCAGTATCAAAATATGGCAATAATATTGATAGTGATAGTCAACATGGTTTCAAAAGAATAATTAAATACATTTATAAGTATTTTTAATTGTTATTTTTATAATTTAATACATACTTAAATTGATTTTTTATTCTATCTTTCATCATGATCAAGCTCATTCAAATATTACTTTGTTTCTAAAATACTAATACTTTTTATCTTTACAGTTTAATATTTTTATTGCTTCCTAGTACCTTGCATTTGCACTTTGTAGTTCAGTATAAACTACACTACTTAAACCTTAATCATTTTTTATTGTAGCATAAACTTGACAATCACTGTTCCTTATAGTTGAAACCTTGACAGCACAAAATTAATTACCTGTTAAATATCATGACAATGCTGAAACTAAATTACTACTTGTGTCTATGCTTTACAAGTAAATTGAAATATTCTCAACACAACATTGTCATGCAAGTCTCTTCTGGAAATTTTGATTTGATGTACTTTCTACATAAATACGTTTATATCTAAATCTAAGACATTTTCAGTACCAAAATATTGTACCTTTGTCAGGTAGAATAGGAGGACGGTCTTCAGTTTTAGGTGTCATGCATGCTAATCCAGTTCCTGTCACTTGAGCCCTAACGGTAGCACTGTTCCCAAACACACAAAGATAATGAGCTCCAAATGGTAGGTTAGGTAGTTGGTTGATAACCAGCTCCACCTCATGAGAATAAAAATATCAATAAACTGTCAGGTACTGATTATGATGTCTTTTATCTTTTACCAACATATATACGCAAGAGTATTAACATGTATTATCATGTTTGAATCCAAATACACACACAAAAAAAAGATAATTAATAATAGAGAAACCATGCAAACACACTTGCACTGTTACTAAGTTTCTGCCTGACAACTCACTGTTAAATTACTGCTGACCTGTTCTCTCTGCCCTCTCTAATCAATTACCCTGACGGATGTACATGCATATTCATTATTCTAAAAGCATGATTTCCGTAGTTTTCACTATACCGCTCATAGCTCTTTAGATTCTGTAATATTACAGTCTTTCTAATGTGTCAGAAGTTTAAATGAAAATTCACAGAGAAGTGAAAAAAACTGATAAACAATTCTTTTGTAACAGTATTCACATGACTAATATCTCAAATAAAACAGATGTGCAAAGATAAAAGTACTGTACACCGATAGTCCTATTTAATTATAGGCAGTTAAAAATAAAAAAAGAAAAAGTTCAGTTGATACTATCATCTAATTATGAAACAGTGTTCAACCAGATAATTAAAAAAATGTAAACAACATTTTATTAACTATTTGGAATGAAACGACATTAAACTGATAAATAGACTCGTGTAAAATATGGTATGCTTTATAATTACATCGAATTGCGTGGTATTTCCTTTATACTTAAACACTAGTTAGTATTATTATAAAGAAAAAAAAACACTTTTCATCCGAGTGTCTTTTTTTGTTACCAGTTGAATCATAACGAAAACTACTCTTTGACACAAAGAAATACTGTTATTACTCTTTAAAAGCACAAGCCACAGACATGAAGTTTCACTTTAATGTTGCTTTCCCTTTTATTACTGTTTAAGTTGTTGGTCCCGTATTTATTTCCTTTAAATGTGTTTCAAGAAGAGAAAATAAATCTTTATTATATAATGACGAAATACGACACATTTTCATTTATGCGTATGTATAAAATGATGGTTTGATACAACACGTAGTGTCGATGGGTCTTTTAACTTTCATCCAGTAATTATTATAGAGATTATTATAATTATAGAGATTCGAACCCGCGACCCTTGGATTGTGGGTCGAGCGCCTTAACCACCAGGTTTGTTGAAATCAACTTACCATGGCCATGCTAGTAATAGGAAGTTGTTCAGGCTTGACAGCTTGGACGTCAATACATTGTTGAGTGTTGAGTGACAACCATCGTGGTGAACTAACACTAAAATTGCTGGTGGCGTTCTGACATGCGCTCTTAATTGTACATCTAAGAAAGGAACCAATACCAATTAAATTTACACATATATCACAGAAATAAATACAACGAAAAAAATATACCCTTTATGAACTTTCTATGTGCTCTCTGGTCCTTGTGTAAATGTTATGGAACATTAGAAAATAACCATCTCAGGTCTACATATTGTTATGCACGTGAGAAGTTCGTTGA